AAAAAACCAATAGCATGCAATTTCAAAAGTCTTCCAATATCAAAAAGTTCTTCATTTACACATTCAATAAGAATAAAGTTTTTGGACTATCATTAGAATCACAATGCAGAGAAAAGTAATTTCAACTAAAGAACAAGCTAGCAGCAATCAGCATCGAAATGCCTGTTAAATTGACAACCTAAAAGTGGAAAGAAGAAAAACCCCTCATACACGAGGAAATAGAATAAAATGTCAATTGCTCAATTAGCATCAAAGATCCCATAGTCTTCACCGTAGAAACTACTCCAAGACTCCAACCCCAATTTTCATATTTAATCATCTTCCAATCTACCTCATCTTAGGATTTTAAAGCTCAGGCATCATCATTTTCTTCGCCTTCTTAGTTTTTCTCTCAGAGATTGCCTCAACGAAGGCCTCCACAATCCTCTGTTGAGACCCGAGTATCATCTCGGTCCTCTTCAACTCCATCTCCATTCGCATCTCCTCAATTCTGCGTGCCATGCCCATCTTCACCTTCTCTATCCTCACAAACCCTTCACCCAAAGCCCTTATAGCCGCCGCCACCTGTCCTACCCCATTATCTCCTTTCCTTCTATTTCCATTTTCATCTCCTCTTTTCTCCAATTCACAACTTCCAAGAAATCCATCTTGCAAAACCTGAGTAGAATTCCCATAACCACCAGCACTAGAATTAAAATTACAGCTAGAGTTATCAGAGAATAGACTACCCATCTCATCAAATTTACTCGAAAACTTACGAGCAGAAGGCCCCGAAATTCCCTGGCCTGGGATTCTAATTCGACAACCAGTTGTTGTTCCATTAATCCTAGTCCTAGGGCCTTGATTACCAAAACTAGCCTTCTGATTATTGTAACCATTATTGTTGTATACCTCGTTGATGCGTTTAATGCTGTTCTTGTGGTCTTCTTCCGGCAGGTCGTCGTCAGAGGAAGGCGGGGTTGAGTTGGGGCCCTTTTCCATGGAGTGCATGCGCTGGAAGTGGACCCATGAGGAGGAGAATCGACTGGAGCCACCGAACGCAGCCGCGCGTTGGATCTCAGCGCGGTAGCGCTTGCGGAGTTTCTCCATCTTGTGGCGGCACTGGACGGATGTCTTGGCAGGGCTAGAAGGGCATCGATAAGCGACATCGTTAGCCACTTCCTGCCAATGGAAGGCGCGGAGATTACCACGACAAAGTGAGTACCATTTATCCTTGTAGGCGTCGATCAGAGCCACAGTCTCATCGGCGGACCAGCACGGCGGCGGAAGACGGCGAGAGGCGGAGGCCGAAATAGCGATGGACGGTACAGCCAGGGTAGCCGTAGGTATGTGGTCGACGTTGCCCGACGGAGATGACGGTGAAAAAATTGTAGCCATGAATTTTTTGGGTGGGTAAACAGGATAATGGATCTAGCACGGCGGGGGATGGGAGAAATACAAAATAAGTGGTGGAGAGAGGAGGCGGAGGAGGTTGCGGTGGATAGGGTGGCATAATGGAAAAATTGGTTAGAGTGGGGTAGGTTTATTAAAAGCGGGGGGCGGCAGAGGAGAAGCAACCGGTCAAAAACTAACTTGCGCCGTAGATGGCGTGCGCACAATCCGAAAACTAGGGTCACTGGGGGTGGTTGGGTCGGTTTGATTTGTTTTTTATGCAAAGGATAAATTTCGGGTACACCGCCTAACCGCATGTGCGGCGGCGGCGGCTGCTGCTCTGGGTCGAGGACTTGTTTGTGGCGTTTGCGGGCTGTGGGGTTTGGTTGATCGGCTCTTTCTATTTC